GAAGAGAAGTGATCAGTGCTGTGGCCGACAAACTTGGCACCACTGATGAGCTCCTGTTGGTCAACCTCAGCTCTGCTGGTGGTAATATTACAGATATATTTAGATATGAAAGAGCAGTTTACAGCAACATTACCTACAGACAGATGTCAATGCTATTACCTGGGTATACCAATTGCACTGTGTATGCAAGTATCATAGTATCACTATCCCCATTTTTGTTACAGAAAAACTAATCCTGAAGCCAAATGACGTGTCAGTGTTTTCTGGTCTGAGCATCAATGGGCGATTATTTGCCTGTCCTCGAGACCAGCTGAACAGTTTGGTAAGACAAGAGTGCCTACTTGCACTTACATGAAGTTTTATGAAGTGGGTTTACAGTAACACCTAGCATAGATTCTTAGTCATGATTCTACTATGATGGCGCTGAAGTACAAGGCGGAGTAAGAAATGTACAGTACTTTAGAGCATAATGACTTCAGAGCAGGTGATTTCCAATTTATGTGTATAGTAATGTAAGCACTGTTACAATGGATCCTTTTCACATGACATTGTTTGAAAGAAGGTACATGTGTAAAAATACTGATGGATGATAATAAATCGATTCTTTAATTTGTCCAAAATTGTACTCACGTTTTTTATGTGCTTATGAATTTGCACATTGTTTGTGTTTGTGTGGCTCAGACTCCTCTTCCAGACCAGGAGGGTCCCTCTGCAGGCTCCATGTCAACTTTTGAGCTGATGAGCTCTAAAGACCTGGCTTACCAAATGACCATGTTCGACTGGGAGCTCTTCAGCTGTGTCCATGAGGTATCACACAAGTGCACTTAGACACACTAAAACCAACTTTAGGCCAGTAGTAGAAGACTACGATCTGTTACAAGCCGTGTACAGTGTTGCAAACCCTGCAAGAGTAACGCTTGATAGATGCAAGATGGCAGGACCTGTCCACTGCTCCCCCGTAATGTCTGGTCCCCCCCCCCTCCCTTTTCCCAGCATGAGCTGCTCTACCACACGTTTGGCCGGCAGAGCTTTAAGAGAACAACGGCCAATCTGGACCTGTTTCTGCGGAGGTTCAACCAGGTTCAGCTGTGGGTGGTCACTGAGGTCTGTCTCTGTGGGCAGCTCAGCAAGAGAGTCCAGCTCCTCAAGAAGTTCATCAAGATAGCTGCACAGTGAGTAGGACCTGCTGGCGACTGTCACACACTTCATGTGAATGCTGTTTTGCACACATGCACTCAGATGAAGAGTTTCTAATATACATAGCTTGTGTGTATTTGTACAGCTGTCGGGAGTTTAAGAACCTGAATTCATTCTTTGCTATCATCATGGGGATGAGCAACCCGGCTGTCAGCAGATTGAGCCAGACGTGGGAGGTACACTATGTCTAATTCTGATAATCTAATAATCTGTGTCTGGATCTTCAGTGAACCTTGAGTCTTTTCCACTGCTGCTAAAGTACAACAAGTACTACATTGAAATCTCTGTTTTTTCTGGCAGAAACTCCCCACCAAGTTTAAGAAGTTCTATGCTGAGTTTGAGAGCATGATGGTGAGTTGCATGAAATTAAATCACCATTGTATTGGGCTGGCAGCAGAAATCCATAGATGGATAGATTAAAAAAAGTATCTAAAAACATGGGCAAATAAAACCAAAACTAGCTGAATACAATAGCTATACAACTTGTGATAATTAAGAAAATATGTTTTTTTTTTTGGTTGAACTGACTACCAAATGTCTTAGAAATTGACATTGCTTATATTTTTGGTGACAGGACCCATCACGAAACCACCGGTCTTACCGACTCACTGTCACCAAACTGGAACCACCAATCATTCCCTTTATGCCCCTCCTTCTCAAAGGTACGACACACATGTCTCTCTCTCAAGAAAAGCCCAGTCACTGTATCACATGGGGATAAACTCTGGGAGAAACTTGGCTGTTGTTAAATTTACTTATTTTCTTTACAGATATGACATTTACACACGAGGGCAACAAGACCTTCATTGACAATATGGTCAATTTTGAGAAAATGGTGAGTTTCTGTGCTCATTGAATTATCCATTTTAGAGTCATATAGTTCTTCACTCAAGTTGAATGTAATATCTAAAGAGTCTCTTATCCTCATCTCTTCAGCGTATTATAGCTAACACAATTCGACAAGTGAGGCACTGTAGAAGCCAACCTTTCAGTAAGTCTGCTTTTTACTCATCACCACACCTTTATCACATTTACATCCTGGCTACACACACAATCTCTCCAATCACAATTTTTTTTCGGTTTCTCCTCATACCGCATTAGATCCCGACATATGCCAACCCAACAAAAATCAAGCGGAGGTACGGGGGTACGTTAGGAAGCTCTGTGTGATCGACAACCAGAGGGCGCTGACGCAGCTCTCCTACAGGATGGAGCCTCGGCGGACATGAGCTCCAGATCTTCCACCACCATCGCCTTCTCTGTGACGTTAGCATAAAAACAAAACCCCACCCACATTACCCGGATAAAACAACTCAACACAACTGGTCGTACAGTAGCAAATCACACAGTCAATGACTTTAGCACTATTATGGACTATTATGGATCAAGGACTTATACTGTGCCATTAAACGCCTCTTCCTCCTGGACAGCAAGTGTTCAGCTGCTCTCTTGTCGCTGTGTCTCTGAGGGTTTTAACCGTACTAGTTGTTACTGTTTGGGGCCTGTTAGATAGAACTGTAATGTATAGAACTGGAATCAATATCCTGCATGACTGAACTCCATAGGCTTTTTGTTCTATACAGTGGATTTCTATCGGACTGTCCTGTAATGTTGTGCTACCCCAAATGAGCCCTAGTTTACAATATATTACTGTACCTGCCTGTAAAACAAACCTTAGTCTCCTGATGGTCCTACTCGTAGACAGAAAACACAGAAAACCCCATGAACCGTAGTAACCTAGACTCTGCATTTTCCCTGTTGAATATACAGATAAATATGAAATCTGAAAGTACTTATTTACTTCATAATGATTATATCCAAGTCTTTGAAAATCTTTAGGATTTGATGGCCTTTAGATAAATATCAGTGTCCCTTAACTAGTCAGACACTTCAAAACTACTAAACAGAGTATTAGTTGGATTAAAGCCCTAATGGTAATGCAAACAGTGTTCAGATTTGTCACTGCAGTATTGCGTTTTATTTCTGCATTGAAGTACAACTCCTGAAGAATATGAATTATTCTAGATGATGAAGTTGCTCGGTACGATCTGCTCCGAGGCCAGCCGTATGATCAAATTGTACTCCTTTGATTTTGAAGCACTGATCCTAGACGCAGAATCTAAAGACAACTTCTACTTTGAGGGGAAATCTTCTCATCTTTACAAGTCGTGATCTGTCCGTGTACTTTTATTTTTATATATGTGGGTGTAGATTTTGAGTGTGTTCTTGACAAGTGTCATTAATTTTCCTTTGATCTCAGGAGCTTTTGATGTGATGGTGTGTGTCGAGAACTGCTGTGAGGCTGGCTTTTCCCCAGAGCAGCCTGTAACTGTACTGTATGTGTGGTCTGCCTTGTAAATAAAAATAGCTAATTTAACAGTGCTCACGTTACCATGAAATTCTTTAAAAAAAAGGTTTTTGGCACACAAACATTCAGCACTTTTAGAAACATATAGGGACTAAAAGTCTGGATATCTGCTGCATCTTTTTTTTTGATAGAGATGGCTGGGTAGAAGCAGGAAGGGGGGGCAGAGAGAGAAAGAGAGAGAGAGAGGACAACATGCAGCAAAGGGCCACAGGTCAGACTCAAACCCAGGCCGCTGCGTATGTGGGTCACCAGCTCTACCAACTGAGCTAACCATACGCCCTTATATACCGTTTTTATTTCTCTATCTGCCATCTATTCATTTTATGTAAATATAAAATATGAAAGACATGAAACTTGCTTCAATATAAATATTAGAAACAGGTAATATTGTAGAATATTGTATACGAGTGTTGGCCCAGTGGTCGACAACAACATTGACTCCCTTGATGATCCATTTGAGGTCATCACGTGATCTTTTGTCTGACACCACCCATGGGGCCAAATCACCAGCTCTGCACATAAAAGCCTAGTGCACACATTTCGCAATTCGATGCAGATGCTCATGGTTCACCAGGGGAGGAGCCATTTTTGAATTTGAATGTTCCATCTGCCCCCTGAACTCTACCATGACCCTGATGTGACAAACTTTCCACTTGCAGAGAAGAGATTTGATTTTCCAACTGGCAGATTGCTGGTCTCATGTCTGCTCCCCAGAGGAAGAAGCCCTCTGAATTTGGTTCTGAACCAACACTTTCATACTATGGAGTGCAATGATTCACTGCAGCTTCTGGGAGCTGCGAGCAGGCCTTCAGACTTTTTAGTCATGTTTTATTTATCCAATGAATCACTATTAAGTCCCCTCTTGCACTCAATTACTGTCATCAAGTCCTAACTTCCCCGAGCTGATCTCACCTGTCCCTACGCAGTGATGTCAGCAGGGCTATCTTGCTTAATGATGTCACTGGGTCATTCCTGTCGGGTTGAGTAACACACAGTTACGCTGCCTGGCTTCTCTGATGTGTGTTTTTAGATGCAAAGTGTGTGAGAGATGGATTTAAGTATCTGTGGCAGTCACCCTCATTGCTAACTGATTTATTATGTCTGACACACTATCGGCCAGAGCTTTATATCTGTGTGTGTGTGTGTGTGAGTGTGTAGTGTATGGATAGCTTTATATAGCCACAGTTATCCAGGAAGAAGGAATGCCCTGGATGCCAGTGACCATATTTGAACAGTGTGTCTGCTACAGGCAGACTACACACACTAACTACAAACCGTAACTTACACACACTCACCCACACTCACCTCCCCTTCATCTTCACGCTCTGTGCATTTGTGTGTGTGTGTGTATGTGTGTGCTGTGTTGCAGTTACACCGGATCACCACTATCAGGCAATGTAATACCTTGTCTAGTAGTGACAGAGGGGGCTTCCTGACTCACAGGGAGCAAACTTCTCTCTCTCTTTCCAACACTTTCTAGTTTCTTCTCTCTGACTATCCGTTCTGCTGACTGACAACATCCACTCCGACCCTGTGGAGGAAACCACTCTGCCTCTCTTCATTTCTTACCCTTCACGCGTGTTCTGTGGTGATTCGTGACTTGTATACTTTTGGGGCAGCGTGGTAGTTGAGCGTGCACGCTTTTTGGGCTGTGTGTGTGTGTATATGTGTGTGTTTGTGTGCGTGTGAGTCAGTATGCCATGTCGTCCCCTGGCTCGTCGTTTGTGCAGATAAAGCATGAGGACCTGCTCTTCTATGAGAACTGTGGAGGAGGCAGCTTTGGGAGTGTCTACAGAGCCCTCTGGATTTCCCAGGACAAGGAAGTGGCTGTGAAGAAGCTTCTGAAGATTGACAAAGAGGTATGGAAGAGACAGACACACACACACACACACACAGCAATTATACACTCCTGCTGCAGAGACATATCATTTGTATAAGTTACGGACTCATCTACTCATCTGCTGCTCTAAACTTCAACATGAATCAGTTTCCACCAATTTTCCCAGATTTTCTTTGGACTCATACACCCAAAGCTCCCTCCCTCCCCCTCCTCCCGTTGTCTGCCGTTGAACATGTGTTTATCTTAAACATACCTCTCCTTGTCCCCCTCCTCCTCCCACTCATTGTGGATGGAGCAGTTTTATTTATGCCAGCAGTCCCCTGTTCCTCCCATTGTGTGTTAGGGGCGAGGTGTGTGGTCATTTGGGGCTTTATGCACTGAACTTCAGGCCCGGGTGGTTCTCCATGAGTATGACCCCAATGGCTTCCATGTTATTAATACTGGGCTAGTAGACCCAGTGTCAGGAAACTGTTATAAGTTAGGGTGACCTGTGGGTGAATCTGGCATTGTGTTATTGTTACAGCAGCAGGTTTAAACAATGTAACGTACAGTATGCACATGGGCCGGCCAAAGAGTGAACAGAGTTTGATTAGTCTTTTGACTTATTTCTCTCGCACTCACTTTCTCACACCCATGCGCAAACACATGCAGGGTGGGCAGACATGCTTGAAACTGTATGTGTACAGTTCATATGTAAATACAAATTGATGGATCATGGGAGAACTGCAGCTCAGTGGATCCTTAGTGAATCTTTTTCTGCAACTCTTCATGTGAAAAGGATCTGCCTGTGAACATTAAAATCATATTTTAACTGATCTTGGATCTTTGCACACACAGTATAGAAATAATTTCCTTTAGTTAGCAGCACGACACTATAATAAATCTTACAGATGCATTTAAAGTTTTGCTTAAGTAAAAGTACAGACTTATTAGCAACAAAATGTAGAAGTAGTGCAGTAAAAGTGCAGTATTACAGTATTAAGTAGCATAAAATGGAAATATTCAAGTACAAGTACCTCATAATTGTACTTAAGTACAGTACTCAAGTTAATGTACTTAGTTGCATTCACAAATGTAAAACTGCATGTGTAAATACATGCACACGAACTGATGTTTGGACACGCTGACAAACTGACACATGGAAGAAATGATAGGAAAAAAAGTGATAAGATAAACTGCTCTTTGGAAGAAAAACTTATTTATTGAGAAAATATATTGGTGTTTTTTTATTAGTTTTTTTTTATGGGTGATTTCATATAATTGATGATTTGTTATTATGTTGCTTGGCAACAGTTACATATTCCAGATATTCAGAGGGTATGACCCATATGTCATTTCAGATGAATAGCATGTTTGTCACTTCCATGTGGAAGGTTTGGAGGCTCAACCTGTGGTATGAAAGAGGCACAGATCTCCAGGCATCCCGGGGACACTGTCAGAACAAGTCAAAAGCTCACTTCATTTTTCTTTAAAGACATGTTTCCTTGCCAATGTCAGATATTGGAAAACTGAAGGAGGATTGTTGTTCATATCTCTCTGTTTCTCTTTCTCTCGTCTCCTCGTCTAGGCTGAGATTCTTAGTGTTCTGAGTCATAAGAACATCATTCAGTTTTATGGAGCCGTGCTGGAATCCCCCAACTATGGCATTGTCACAGGTCAGACTCCACGTGTGTGTGTGTGTGTGTGTGTGAGATTCTTTCAGATGTCCTCACAAGAACATAAAACCTGAACATATGGTTGTGGGAGTATTTTAAACTTAGTTGAGTTCTAAGATGTGTATAATTATCTTTGTGGTTACACCCTAATGGATATAAGTACCATTAGGGTCGGGTCAGGGTTTAAGGTGAGGCATGAAGGGGTTAGGGTCAGGGCAGATGGTGTTCTCATATAAAACTACACAAGTGTGTGTGTATATCACTTTATTAGTGTGTATCCTACACGTGCTACTTACAGACAGGTTAGCACATGCTCCGATGGCTGACAAGTGTTTATGTGTGTGTTTTGAAGTATCGGTGTATACTCTGAGCGCTAGTTCTTGCTGTGTTTTCTGGCAGGACATTTGTAACTGAGACCGGCATGTTTGGATGTGGTTGTAATCCTGGATGGGGTCATATGGTTAAGATAAAGCACCGACACACCACTACAGACTTGTCCAGCAACAATTCTTGCTGCATTGGAGTCTAACAGTTCCGCGCTTACTAAAAATAAAAAAGTACAGTAGGCAAAAAGAAGAACTGGTTCAGGAGGAGGATTTTGGTCCCAGTAAAATGTATTTTGCCATCATTTAAAAAAGGCAGATTTATCCATGTTATTCTTGCCATGTTACATCCTTTGATTGGACATTATCCTCTGGCGTCTACTTGTTTCTTTGAATTGTCAGATTTAACAGGAAAATAGGAAAGGTTAAAAGTTCAGAGATAATCTGGATTAGACGGTCAGGGTATGAAGGTCGCGAGCGTTTCCACTGATTTGAGCTAGCTTCTCTGTGTGGTGTGCAGTGCTTAACTGTGATGTAGTAAACATGTAGTGATATCTGCTGTAACTGCAGTACAAAAGTGGATGTTTACTCTTTCAATAGCCAGTTTTTAAAGATTCAACTCAAACTGTGCCTGACAGGTTAGTTGTAGCCTACTGATGTACGTATAAGCATGTTAACATCCAGCAGAGTAGAAAAAGAATGCAGAATGAGTAGCCGTGTACACGTGATTTCTCTTGATCTAATATTGATGACTGCTTCTATGTGTGTGTGTTACAGAATATGCTAGTGGAGGGTCTCTGTATGAGTACCTTTCCAGCGAGCAGAGTGAGGAGATGGACATGGAGCAGATCATGACATGGGCCATACAGATAGCCAAAGGTACAAATAAAGGAATGATGATGGTAAAAGTAATAACCTCTGTGTCACGGTCAAAGCGCCTCTCTTCTGATAGGAAGGAGCACCGATATGTTCACCATTATTCTATAATAATGTTATACTCTAGTCGTCATGAAGCATTTACAGTCTAAGGTAACTTAATGGTAAAAAATGATGTACGCTAATTATCAAGCTACTTTACAATGAAGTTCCACTAAAAACAATCTCAAAGTTGTAAATTTCACCAGTTATTAATGCTTGATCTCCTTACAGGGATGCATTACCTCCATGCAGAAGCTCCAGTCAAAGTCATTCACAGAGACCTCAAGTCACGCAATGGTAACACATGACCTTAAACACTTCTTGACGTGTTCCTCAAACTCTGCGCTGCTCCTTCTTATGCACGTCTAAACATGAGCTCTCTTTGACATTTGTCTGTTAAGCTGTTTTGTGTTAGTATTTTATGTCACTGGTATTTGACTGTTTTTTCTGTTTGCTCTTTTGTAGTGGTAATGACAGCAGACAAAGTGCTGAAGGTTTGTAACAGTGGGCTTGTGATGTACACACAAACACATATTCACATTTTTTATTGAACTTGGCACACCGGTCATTTCTTCATTGCTTTCTCTGTCGGGATTTCAGATTTGTGACTTCGGGGCGTCTAAGTTCCTTTCCCATACTACCCATATGACGGTGGTGGGCACTTTTCCCTGGATGGCCCCTGAAGTCATTCAGAGCCTGCCTGTCTCCGAGACCTGTGACACCTACTCCTATGGTGTGGTGAGTTGGCAGTACTGAACAAATACCAGTATTGTGAGGCCAGGAATAAAACCTCAGTACTACATTTTGGTTGGTATCAAGTATTGGCAGCTGGATTTAAATGCTTACATCTGTATTCTTTTATCAGACAGTTTTATTCAACCATTTGCCAATTTTAGAGACTTTAATTCAGGCTTGTTTGGCTTCTTTTAACATTTAAAATTGTAGACGTTTGACTTCTTTTGTTAAAGATCCAGCGTGTAGGATTTAGCGGCATCTAGCAGTGTCATTGCAGATCGCTATTCCATCGCTTCACCCTCCCCTTCCAAGCATGAAGGAGAAACTACAGTGGCTGTGCAACGTGCAAAAAACACATTCGGCCCTATCTAGAGCCAGTGTTTGGTTTCTCCCTTCTGGGCTACTGTAGAAATGTGGCAATTAAACATGGAGAGAGAGAGAGGCGACCCACGGCATCTGTAGATATAAAAGGCTCATTCTATGGTAA